CAAAAGCAAAATGCGTGGCTACAAATTTCACAAGAATGTGGGAGAAGTATTGATGAAGTTAAAAAGAAAATTAAAAATGTACGGACAGCATACGTTACCGAAAAGAAGAAAGTTGACAGTTTAAAAAAATCGGGTTCGTCAGCGGACATGCTCTATGAACCACATTTATTCTATTTCGATGAGATGTCTTTTCTTGACTCCGTCGTTGTTTTACGGAAAACTTCAAGCAATATGAACAACGTAAGTTAGAAAGTGTCAGTGCTTCATAAAATACCCAGTATGTGCCAAGCAAAAATATATATTAATATGTACATGTAATCAAATTAAAATATTAAGAGGCAGACCTCATGGTGAAACACATGGGATAATTTAATTACTCGTTTTAATGCTTTGAATAACTTGGCGTTTACTAATTAAAATAATATAATCTTCAAATGTTTTTATTTTGTATAAATATTCATAATAGAAAAATGTGGAAATTGCTGTAGAAGCCCTGGAAACCGTGGATGACCACTTGAATTTAACACTGACAGAAGACATATTACCAACACAATCTCCTACGCCTTCTCCATCAACATCAACATCAACATCTTTATCTGTACCATCTTCATCATCGTCGTTGGTTCGTCGACGCCGCAATCGAAGCTCAAATAGTGACGCAAAATTTGACCAAGCCATCGAAGCTATCGTTTCTTCTGCAACGACATCTGATAAGGATAACGTGTTCACATCATTTGCAAAATCTATAGCCCTGCAGCTAGAACAATTGCCACTAATTGAAGCGACCGAAACGATGTCCGAAATTCATAATATTGTAACGCGGAAAGTAATTGGGTATTTAGCAGCATCTCAACATCAGTCAAATGGGAATAGTGAGCACGATATTTTGGAGCTTGCTATAGCCGACGCAGACATAAGTTTCTAAAACCAAATTGTGTTTGCTCCAAATCTAATGTAAGCATTGTAAAATACATATGTATGTACATATGTTTATAAATTTTTTTGACTGATATTACAGTGAAACAGCAAATTGACAAATCAACTCCAAACGTTATTATCGTTGTTATACACTGTGATGTCACGATCAGCAACAATTGCATCAAAATAAGTAAAAGCCACCGCAGAGGCTTTTTATTTAACTAATCGCCCGTAAATCGTTGACTAAAATGGAGCAACATTAGTTACGCAAATCCCAGGAAATGTCCACAAAACACCGCATTAATCAACTTAAGAAAAACTTGGGAACTGCATACTGTTATTAACACATTTATAGTCAGCAGAAGCTTCATATTTTTACTACTATACTATGAAAGACTAGACTATAAAGACTATGAAAGAAAAGAACTACTTTTTTAAGAAAAGGACTATGGAACGAAGTATTGCAATGCTATGTATAAGCGATATACTATTTTTTTTAAACATATTTATGTACACTTGTGATCAGCTAATTAAGCCAGAAACATTTTGATCAATTTCGGCTCTTTTGCTTTTGTTTATTTAATGTTTATTATTTTTCCGTAAAAGTCTAGCTCATTATATAACAAACGCCATAAAAATCCACATTTCAAACTTTGTGCAAAAATTATGAAAAATCTGCAAAGTTTCAACTAAACTTTCAACTTTTTATTCAGATCTTTTAGAATTATTTTGAGTATTCAGTTTAATAGCCCATTAAATTCTAGGGAATAATGTGCATGTCTTAAGTTGCTAAAGAATCGCGTTGATTTTTAATATTTTTTTTTTGACTGCATTACAACTTTTTTCCAACTTAAGACATGCACATTATTCCCTAGAATTTAATGGGCTATTAAACTGAATACTCAAAATAATTCTAAAAGATCTGAATAAAAAGTTGAAAGTTTAGTTGAAACTTTGCAGATTTTTCATAATTTTTGCACAAAGTTTGAAATGTGGATTTTTATGGCGTTTGTTATATAATGAGCTAGACTTTTACGGAAAAATAATAAACATTAAATAAACAAAAGCAAAAGAGCCAAAATTGATCAAAATGTTTCTGGCTTAATTAGCTGATCACAAGTGTATGTACACAAAGAAGTGAAAATATTCTTGGATGATTTTTGTTTTGTAATGTTATTTAGTTATTTGTTTATGTTTTTATTTTGTTATTATTAAAGTTTATTAAAAGCATTTGTTCTTGAATGAATTTATATTCAGGTATTTTATCCCAACTAATATGGGAGTTTAGGTGTCCAAATGTTCGTTAAATTTTACAGTGGGTTTCTGCAGACGGAAATTCTATTTACAGAAGACTTACACAATCTGTGGATTCACAAGGCGTGTTAAGCGTCGTAAAATCTTAATCTTAAATTTGTTGTACGTTATATACAAAAAATTACAAAAGAACAAATTACTTACCTTTTATGTAATTTCAAAATATTTTAAAAAATCTTGCGGGAAAGAAATTTTATAAAATAGTAAACACATGAATGCATGTTTTCATTTTGGAACTTGTTTTTTTATTTTATGCCATTGATACGGCACATCTCCATCAGTTATGCAATATTTACAGATATTATCTCGTGTTTTACATGCGTATTTGTACGTATTTTGCTCTTGTACTGGTAAAGAGGAAATTGTAGACGGAAGAACTTGGTTAGAGATGTCTTGCTGGGGATTTGGTGCCTGAGCCAGTTTTCGCGCTAAATAGTTATGCAAAATGCAACACGCCTTAACGACAGTATCGCATGTTTCCACTGAAACCTCAATGGGTCGGTGAAAAACGCGAAATCGTGAACTGAGCCTACCAAACGCCATTTCCACAGTCATTCGCGCTCTACTTAATCTGTAATTATACGCTTCTTGAGCAGTGCTTAAGTTGGAACTTCGGTTGTACGCTTTCATTAAATGGCGGTTCAAACCAAAAATGTCATCGCCGATAAAATAGAAGGGTGTTTTGGAAAGTTGTCCCTTTAAAGGCTTATCAGCAGGAAGGTTTAATTGGCCTCTTGACAAGTTATCATACAATAAGCTATTTTTGAAGGCCATGACGTCAGATGCTCTTCCATTCGCTCCGATATCGACATATATAAATCGGCTGTGTGCATCAACCACTGCAAGAAGAATAATACTGAAAAAGCCCTTATAATTGTGAAAATCTGATCCAGAACGAGGTGGCGCTTTTATTCGGATATGCTTTCCGTCGATTGCTCCCAAAGTGTGCGGGAATTGCCAAAGTGTTTCAAAATCGTTAGCCACATCCAACCACTCTTTTTCGGTCGCAGGTATCTTAAAAATAAATATATAATTATAATTAGTAACAACTACCTTGCTAACTTTTTGCGCAAAATTATCGTATGTTACAAAACGCATGTACCAGGTTGCATCCTCACCAGATGGACAAAATCAGTGTGAAAACATAACTGTGGTAGGTGCTTATTGTAAGGCAATTGTAAGGTATATATATATATATAGATGGATTTACATCCCATACGTGCACAATTTTTAATCAGGTATAGCTCTGGAACCGTAAGTCGCATGAGATTAATATTCGCTTTTGAGACAAACACACACATTACTCTGTGGAGTTCTTTGTTTGAACTCTGCACTCAATATGTATACTTATACTTTTGCTAAGCTTCCATTTGGTCTGTTAAGTGGAGTAACATCGAAAGAAAAAAACCATAAGTACCACGAGATTGATATTTATTTTTAAGACACACACACATTACTCTATGAGTCTTTTGTTTACATTCTATACGTTTGGGGCTGAACACCTTTTGCAGAGAGCACCTTTCTGAGTAGGAGGCTTTTGGCCGCTCTTAGGGATTATAACACTCACTAAGTAGAATTCTCCTTTTTGTGTTGCCGAAGAAGAAGTTATTAATAAATTAGTGCACAGATATAGTAAATTTTGTTTTTATAATAAAGTGTTTGTAATTTTTTTTTATTCGAATCACGCGTTTGGGCACAGCAACCCAAAGTCGTTGTACAAATAAATAAACAGTACCAGAAAATTAACTCACCTTTAAGTATTCATCCTGAAGAACAGCAATTAAAGCTTGTAGTACTTCCGGTAAAAAATTGCTAATTGTCTTCCGCGAAATATGTGTTAAAAACTCTAAAGACCGAAAGGAGTCCCCAGTCGCTAGGTAGCGGAGTGTAACAGCAAGGCGAACTCTTGAGGTTATGGCACATCTCATATTTGTATCAGTTTTTTTTATTCTCGAATCCACCTATATGTACATACATATCAATATCATATTCGTCACAAAAAGATAAAAAAATATAATATATAATTACCTTTGAAAGAATCTCATTAAACTGGTCAATGGACATCCTACAAAAGTTATTGAAGTCCTGTCCTTCTTCCCATAAAATGTCTTTGAGGAGATTTGCTTCCAAATCGTGAAGGCCTCTTTGTGCCAAAAACGGATTCACCCAAAATTTATGTTTTTTCCTTTTTCGCCTTTCTTCTATAATTTTTTGCAGATTTTTTAATTTTTTCAGCGCTTCTATGCAAAGCATATGCCTACTTGGCGCCATTTTGCAAATGCTTATATCAAGATATAAAAAGCCCACACACAAATATTGCCACTGATATAACTTATATCTAGCGACCAAAATGACAGCTGGGCAGCAATAAATTTTATCCTGTGGAGACGGCCAGTTAAGGACGCTAATTTACTCAAAATTGGTACACCCCGGTTTACCATGTAGCGGTAGCTTTCGGAAAGGTAAAAAACATATATTTAATACTTGCGCCGGGTATTTAATGTTCGGCTCCGCCCGAACTTAGACTTTCTTACTTGTTTCCAATAAGATCTTGCAAAATCTTTCCATCCCAATGAATTATAAACGATCCAATTGTGGTCAACTGTAAAAAATGGTCAGTCCATCGCCTTTGTCTTTATCTGCGGGCTGTGCCGGAGCCTCAGCCGCTAAACCTAAACGTAGAATACGTGATAATATTAAGAGTACATTCAGGTTATAAACTGTACCAGGGATGAAAAAGTAGGTACAAATGCACCTTTTTCCGGCGTTTGCTGACCTAAAGGTACATTAAGTACAATCACTAGAATTTAGGTACATTCATCTTTTGATCAGATGAATTTTTATTCTAATTTTTTTCTTTTTGCTTTACTGTGATAATATATTTACTTGTCGGCATGGGAAAAAATGGGGAAAAGTGGTCAAAAGGAAGAAATTAACAAAATCATATTATATTGCATTTAGAACAGCCACTACGAAAAATTAACAATTTACTTAGCTATCCTAAAATTCGTAATTCTTGCTATATTTTTTATATTCGAAATTGGGATTAATTTCTTCCATAAAACGTCATTGCGCCCTAGACCGATGTACTCCCCTCTCCAATGACGGTGTGAAATCTAAAAACGCTCTACCTTTGCAATTGTTGGAATGCATTTTTAATCTATTGAAACCATAAAAGCTAAATCTCCCCGCATATGATAACATTTTTAACTTTTCTATAAAGTTTATTCGCCCATACAGTCCTGGGTCTAAGCTTTATTCAAATTTCATATTTTCTGTAGTTGAGGGCCTCAATTGAAGCAATAGCTATTTTACCCATATTCGCTATTTGATTTCTGGAATATATTTCAACTGCTTTAAACTGCGTATATACCCAGTGGGAAAAGTAGTAGTGCATTCCATGCGTGATAAATAATCGAATGTATTTCTTATGAGGTTTACATCCAATTACTGTTTAATATGTAATCAGCATTCCAATGTATTCAAAAAGTCCCAAAAATTTCATATTAAATCACATTCATTTCTCGATACCAGGTAATGCAAAATTGAATGCCCCACTTTTCTTAGGACATCGCCCTAGGGAAAAGAATGCATTTTCGAATGTGAAAAGGGTTGTTTTACTGATTATTTTTTCGATTACTATACATTACCACTGAGTACTTACGGCAATTCCCTTTATTTTCTCTAGACTTGCTGCAGCTATTAAAGGGAATCGGATAAATTAGCAGACTTTTCCTGTTGTTTTATAAAAAGCTTCGCAAAATGTGTTTTTGGTCTATTTCGCCAATATTTTTCAGTAGTCAAAATTAGGCAAAAACAAAGCTTCTCCGATTTCCATTAGACTATACTTTGGAGGTAAATATAAGCTCAGTGTATTCATATTTTAAAAAATATTATTAAAAAACTACATACGAATGAAGTAACTTTTTTTTAGCTAGAATTTGTCTCATTTAGGTGCATTTATTTTATGATATTAGGTGCAATCTGAAATTTCCGTTTTTTTGCCCTGAACTGTACATTCCTTTTGATTTTATTTGATTAAATGTTAAACCCATTTCAAGTGCTACCCACCTTTTATTGATTTCTGTAACTTATTAAATAAATTGAGTTTAACTTTTTAAACAGGTGACAGCCCTCTTTAATATTCGTACTGTTCAAGCTAAATATTAATATTTTAAGATTTCATTCAGTAATTTATGTAAAATTTAAATAAATTCTGCTTTTTAAACAAATGGCAAGACTGTAAAAATATTGTCAAACTAAAACCTTGTTAAACCTTTTTCGTTTGACACCCAAATTAAAATATTTAAATTATCTAACTCCCTTAAATCATGTTGCATTTAAATTTTAAAACGGGTGGCAACCCTGCTACATGTGTATTGGGGATAAAGTTTTTTCAAAGCCATTTTGATTAATACTTATATTTAAGTAGCTTATTTAAGCTATTTTATACGTCGAACTAACTTTGTCAACAGGTGGCAACCTTCTTAAAATTATTAAAATTTTTCAAACTAAAACGTCTGACGCCCGTATTGTGATTCATATTTAAATCATCTGATTCCCTTAATTCAACTTGCATTTAAATTTTTAAAGAGGTGGCAACCCTTCTATATGTAATTTCGAAATAAAATATTTTCAAAGGAGTTTTGATTGATAAGTATGCTTATTAAAGTAATTTATTTAACCTAAGGCATACGCTGAATTTAAATTTGTAAATAGGTGGCAACCTTGATTTATTTTGGAACGAATTTCCGTCATCCCTTGTCAAGTTTGGTTTGCAGACAAACCGGTTTCGGCATTGTGCCATCTTCAGTGTCATTTTTCGTGGCAACCTTCTTCAGAATATTTTTTAACTGAAACTTTCTTAACCCTGTTTCGTCTGACACACGTTTTGTCATACATACTTAAATAATCTAATTCCCTTAATACAAGTTGTATTTGAATTTTAAAATGGGTGGCAACGCTGCTACATGTGTTTTTGGTTAAATCTTCTTCAAAGTAATTTTGATTGACATCTATATTTAAGTAAGTTTTTTTACCTAATGCAGACATTGAATTAAACTTTGTAAACAGGGAGGGGCAGTGTGTGTATGCATATGGTATTAATTTAACAAAAATTTGCTAACAAAAGGTTAAAGAATAACACATAGGAAAAGAAAAAAACAAGAATGAAAGTAAAGGTGACTACGTACATAAATGAAGAAAAGGATAAAGGCAACGGTAAAAATAAAAACCAAAACAAAGATGCGTAAAGATAAAGGCAAAAATGAAGACCAAGGTAAATTTAAACACTTTACTTATATGTATAAGGGCAAATGTGAAGGGGAATATGTAGCAGAAAAAAATGATGAACATAAAAGTAAAGACAAGGAGGAGGATGAGAATATCGATAAAAGCAAAGATGAGCAAGGTAATTAAAGAGGAAAGGATATAGAGGGAGACACAGAGACTCAATCTGGGAACTATTTTGGGATTTTAGAGATTTTCGGAATTCTCGAGACCTACCGATAAAATAATCGATATTTTTATCGGTTTTGTTATCGATATTTATCGATTTTGTTATCGATTTGTTATCGATATTTACCGATTTTGTTATAGGTATTCACCGATTTTGTTATCGATAATTATCAATTTTGTTATCGACTCTTGTCGATTTTGTTATCGATATTTATCGACTTTGTTAGAGATATTTATCAATTTTGTTATCGATATTTATCCGATTTTGTTATCGATTTTGTTATCGATATTTATCGATTTTGTTATCGATATTTTTATCGATTTTGTTATCGATATATTTGTCGATTTTCTTATCGATATTTTTATCGATTTTCTAATCGATTTAGCTACCAATGGTATTATCGATGTTGCTATTGAAATTTTCATCGAATTTGTCATCGATTTTGTTATCGGTATTTTGATGGACGTTATAATCGATTTTGTTATCGATAGAGTATAAAGTAATAATTTACAAGCGCGCTGAGTAGACGTGTTTCGGACAGTGCGGCAATAATTTGTGCATATATTCGCGTTTTTCCACAGTAAAATAATTTAACTAACTCAAACAAAGTCCCGTCCAGGCCAGCCCTTTATTTATCGTACTAGAAAGGAAGATAAAAATAAGCAAATACATTTTTTATATTGTTTTCGCGAGATGTCAACTAGAACAAAAACAGCCCGCCAAGCTGCTGCCTCTCCAATAACACAAAGTGCAAGAAGCGAGAGCCCGCAGTCAAATAACTGGTTTTCACAAATACGAGTAAAGATGGACCAGCAGAAAGAGAGCATCATCGAACAACTTTCCGAGTGCATGAAGAGATCCGAAGAGCGAGTAATGCAGCGTTTTGGTGAGTTGACGGCTGATCTTAAAAACTTAAGCTCGGAACACTTTGACGACAGCAAGCGACAAGCAGCATCTGTCAAATTTTAAATACACACGTTCTTACGGACACAATTATTTTGGCGACAGCACGACATCTTGGCTGCAGGACTGCAATTGTCGACGTCGCCAAATTAAATCTATTTCTAATTTTGCCGACGACAATGAGTAGATGTAGTGCTGCAAAATTAAATTGTCGCAAAATTAATCACATATTCTTGATTGTTCATGTTTTTCTTATTTATTTAAATAAAAATACACAATTTGTGAAATAAATATACCAAAATGTCAAACTTTAGAATCAGCGGTTTGCTATGTCGCTGAGGTCTTCAAAATGTTTAAGAAGCTAGCTTCAAGGGGACATTTGTCGACAAAATGATGTCGCTGTCGTTACGTCGTGAAGTTGCAGTCGTCAAAGTGTTCCGAGCTTTAAAATTTGCCATCAAAGAGAACGAAGCCCGTGTAGTCAAAGCTGAAGCTGTGTGCGCTCACGTTGAGCAGCTGCGCGTGGATGTGCAAACGTCTCAACCTAATGACGGGAATGAGAGTTCTCGTATTATACGGCTAAACTCTGAAGTGCATACACTCAAAGCACAACTTGACGAGTGTCAAAATTCTCTTGTCTCGTCTGATGCTATCACAAGAGGTTTCCCGCAGGCGAGTGAAGAGAATCTAAGAGATACCTTCTCCAAGCTATGTAGCGCTGTCAACATGATTGCTCCACCGGTACGTGATATTTTCCGCGTTCTCAATAATGACAACAACAACAGCAAGGCTACGGCAGTTATAGTTAAGCTAGGTTCTGCTAGCGACCGATGTCGACTTCTTAGCGCCGTAACACATTTCTGCAAGCAGAATAAGAGATCTATTGCGCTGCGAGACATTGGGCACAAAGCAGACGGGAGAATAGACATCCACGAGAGCCTCACCAAGAATAGCCGTGAAGTTCTGCAGTTCGCAAT